AGCCAAAGGTTCAAAACATCAAAGTTCATGCTCAATAATCCAGGTAAAAAAAATCCAACAAAGTCAAGTCCAGAGGATCTGACTTAACTATTGAGCATGAACTTTGACGTTTTGAACCACCTTGGCCATGGCTGCCTCAGAGGAATCGACAGGAGAGAAATTGGTCTCCAGAAACCATCTTGTCACCATCAAACTGGTTGGCCCACTACGTGACTGTGCTGCTTATGGGACTGACTTTGTTGTGGTTCCTCAGACTGATGAAGTCCTTTGGATGAAAGACAATACGTTTCAACAAATAAAAGAAACCAATGACCTGACTGAACTTTGTTGGATTTTTTTACCTGGATTAGTGAGCACAAACTTGGTTAAATTAGTATCCTGATGCATGCTCAATAATCCAGGTAGAAAAATCTAAAAAAGTTAAATCTGGTCCTCTGGACATTCAAAAAAAACAAAAGAAAAACAAAGCAAAACAACAAAAAATGTAGAAACGTTTCGTCTCTCATCCGAGAGACTTCCTCAGTCTGAGGTGCTGTATTCAGCTCAGTCTCTTAAATAGCACCTTCTCAGAGTGGATCAACCAGTTTTGCTGCTGACAACCAAAACCAGCTGATCACATGCTCAAGAATTGGTTAAATTAGGATTTGTACGTGAAATAACAGCTGTGTACAGTATTTGTTTTCATGGTTTTTAAATTGCACTCTATTACTGAATTTAGTTTTATTTTACTTTTTTCTTGCACTGACTGACTCAAATGCCAAAAATTCCTGTGTGCTCAAACTGGGTACACAAATGGCCAATAAAGTTTCTTGAATATTCTGGTACTTCCTGTATATTATGAGTGTATACAGTTTTCCCTGCAACTTCTGTACTCTCTTGGGCACTGGACTGTCCTTGAAATGTGTTCGTTTTTCTCATAAGCTTCATTCAGTTACAGTTGGCAGAGTTTTCAGCAACTACAGCACATTTTGCATTCTTAAATGTTTGATTGACCCCCTCAGGCCAGAGTGCAAAAGACTGTCAAGCTTGATTTGTCTAAAACTACCAGGCAGATGTTCCACAAACCTTCATGCAATGACAATTCAGATTATTTTAGAGACATTTATAGAGGAAAAATCAACATTTGCATCTAATAAAAAGTGTTGTTTGGTTATGTTGCTTTAAATGAAAGTGAATAAACTACTTTCTACATCATATTTGTTCTACCAGCAGTTACTCTGAATGCATTAAAGCCATTTGTGGATGTCAGTTTTGATCAAAATGTGACTGCAGCAGCAGTGACAGCAGCCCTGTGGCTCTGGTCTTAATCATGTAGAAGCAACGAGTTGCACCTGAGGCTTTGCTCTCGCTGCTGGACCTAAATATGAGCCTGGTGCCTCCTTAGTTTAAGAAGAAATGTTCTCTACAAGAATATGACCAATGCAATCCTCAGAGCCACAAACTCTGCATGTCTTTGCCTCCCGTTGCTTGAAATTAAAGAAAAACTTTGCTATTTTAAAAACACGCAGAATTAAACTATAGAGCTTTTTTTTATTATTGTAGTTGTTTTGACTGAGATAGTATAAATGCCACATATTGAATGTTTCTCAGGTCCAGATATTTTTATTGTTTGAATGTGATCATTATAGTGTAACCATAAGTTTTTGATCTGACTTTGACACGCTGCACATTTGAGATGAAAACATTTGTCCAGCAGAGACAGAAGACCTGCTCATTATTTTACAGAACAGCTGGTTTGGTTTGACGTCTGTTCAAGTCAGAATCAGAACCAGAATAAATTTAATTATCATTGTACCAAAATACAGTGAGATTATGTTTGTACAGTCGTCCAAAACATGGGAAGAGTGCATGTTGCTGCTGCTACTGGAGCATGGCCTCTTATCCTTTTTCAGAATACTTTTTTTAAGATAGAAAAGGGGGAAAAGCCATGAGGATAGGATAGTGGCATTACAAAAAAAGATCTCTTCACACCTTGTCTTATCAGGACACAATTTAAGACATCAAAAAAACTCTGCCAGCAAGCACATTTATAAACACATTACAAATGCATTTGACAGCAAGACGGTGAGATTTGTCCGTGAAGCACTTCCAGATAGGCCATAGTCCGATAAGATGTAGGTCAGTCGGCACAGTTCTGATAAGCCTTCAAAGAAGTTCTCGGGTGGGGGTGGGGGGTGCGATAGATGAAGCTGTTCCTTAGTTTACACGTATCCCAGGAGAAATTTGACAAGTCAGCATGTTTTTGAGGCTAACCAGGGGAGTCAGATTCAGATAAGCCACAGTTGTTGATTTTTTTCAGGCAGACTTTTTATTTTTCTTGTCAGCCTTGAGTCCTGCTGGTACTTTCAAGATCCAAACTGGACAGATTTGAGGGCATTTCACTGGTCTGTGCTTATGAGCCTCCTCCAAGGTCGTCTCCAACATGATGCTGGCGAGTTCCAGAAGCCGCAGGTGGCCTGCGATTCTCACAAATCGCTTCTGTCTTACAGTTTAGCTCATAAATCAGCTGATTTTGAGTACTCGAAGCACGAACCAAACCTTCACACAGACTCGGCAGTTTTGCCATTGCCAAAACTGCTGCTGCCATCCTGCAGGTTTGAATAGAAGTTACTGAGTTGGCATTAGTGACATTGAACAGATTTTATTTTTTTACCTCACACTCGGGACTAAAAACATCACCTGAGCATTTGTGTTTCTGTTTAATTATCCTTCACTGATCGAAATATGGTTGGATGTGTTTTGACTCAAACAAATGAGCAACCAAATGAGGTCCAGCTCTTTTTTGTGTGTGTATTCAATTATGACCTCTGCAGAGTAGAAGTGGCAGTCCTTTATAATTCATGATCATTAGCCATTGAAAATCAGAAATTACAGCACATCTGTAGTCTTTGTGTGACAAACGACGGCAGGCAGAGGGTTTTATTGACAGCGTATTGTGTGGAAGGCCACCATTCAAAAACAGATCGATGACAATAAATCACCTAAAGCTGAGCGGGTGCCATGTTTTGTCAGCAAATCTCATCCCAGCGGAGGAACAGCCATCGATTCCAGCTGTAATCTTGCAGATCAAAGCTTGATGTTTCTAAGTGAACTGGGAAGATTTTTAGCTTCATAGATCTGCAGCGACAGACAGAAGGAAGACTCTGATTTGCCAGATGGCACCACATTACTGCACTCCTGCATTTATTTAACTGAGGCTACAGAGTGATGTAAACATCTTCGAACTGCAGGGAGGAGCATTTAAAACCAATTACCAAACCGATAAAATTAAAATGGCACATGACGGTTTTTAGTAGTTTTATGCAAAATGTGATTTGTTACATTGTAAAATTGACTGCGTTAGTAATTTTTGTGTTAAGGGTTGACTAGCTGTACCATCTTAAGTGAGGCTGACTACGAATGTTAATGAGTTGCAGAAGTTCCCCCAGAGGTTACTTTCCGAGAGTCTTGATACTGTTAATAATCCAGGTAGAAAATCCTAACAAGGTCAAGTCCGGTCATCTGGAGAATCCATCCAAATGACCTGACTTAACCTTGTTACTTTCATTAAAAATCTATCCTGTAGTTCATGCGATATTGTTGACTAGTTGACTCCAACAGTTACTGGCAAAGTGTTAAAAAAAATATGTTGCATTATCAATTAGAGCTTAGAATACATGATGAAGGTGATTCTCAGTGACTACCACACTAAATTTTAGCTAAATGTTTGGAAAATTGGCTGTGTTCGTTGTTTTTGTGTTGGCAAAAATCTATGAGGTGTCGTGAAGTTCTTGAAGAGGAGCAGACTCCAAGAATCAATCAGTTTTAGATTGTTACTTTCCCATAGTTTGATAAAATCCATCTGCAGTTCAGTTCAGTTTATTTATATAGCCCCAAATCCCAACAGAAGTTGTCTCGGGGCACTGAACAAAAACGTTTGCGAACATTATAAAAGCTAACTAGTAAAAGTTATCTATCTAAGGAAGCCAGCAGATTGAGCTGACGCTTCACTCCGTCACAGTCTATAAACCCGAGCAAGCACATCGGCAACAGTGGAAAGGAAAAACTCCCTTTTAACAGGAAGAAACCTCCAGCAGAACCAGTTTCAGGACGAGCGGCCAACTGCTTCGACCAGCTGGGGTTTGAGAGGAACAGGAAGGAGAAACATACAAACACAGAATGGCAGGTCCAGCTGGACTTTGTATTGGAGGAAAGACAAAAAAATGTTAAGAGAAATAATTACAAATACAAACAGGCAGAGTAGAGCAAGTAAAGACAACAGCAGAATGAATAAATGTAGTCAGTTTATCCTCCAGCAGTCTAAGCCTATAGCAGCATAACCCAAGCCGAACCTAACTATAGGATTTATCAAAAAGGAATATGTATCTCATGTGGTTCATAAGATATTTTGTTAACAGTAAAGGCAAGCAATAAAGGAAAAGGCAGCAAAAATACTACTGTAAGCCTTCGGGCATTAATATAAAAAGACTAAAAACATTTAGCATCAAGGGCAGCAGGAGAGTTTGAGATATTTACACACTTTCCACTTCATCTGTTCTTCCAAAGGTGACAAGAATCAAAGGGAGCTTTGATCAAATGCCTCCCTCTAGTGGCAAACTGTCAAACTGTCTCCAAAACAAATTTAAACCCATGTTCACCTCAGATCAATCTATCAACCTTTATTTAGACAGGTAAATCCCATTGAGCCTCGAGGACTCATTTACAAGAGAGACCTGATTACAGATGTTTGTGCTCTTTTAAGTAAATTACTCAAATTATTTTTAGCATGTCTGTCATTCCAGTCTTAGCTCTTTACAGAGTATCAGAAATGTTCACATGTTGATGTGTAAACATAAATGTGTCTATAACAACATACATAATGTGCTATTTTTAATGTGCCAAAAAGAAAAAAAAATCACATATAAGTTGGAATAGTATAAGCATCTGAGAGGCATTTTCAAAAGAATAGTTGATAAAACTAGAAAAAAAAAAGTGCTTCTGAGTTTGTTTGGTGGCATTGGTCACGCCTCCTCGGGTTTGCAGGCCAGAAGGTAGAAATATTTTACATCCACCATCACCTCCGTCTCTGCAGAGCTCACTTTCATTACAGACATCAACCTGAAAAAAAGGAGATGCGAGAAAATCAGAATTTACTGCCTTGATTTACCAACAAGCTGTTTTAAATGAGTCAGAATCAACCTTAAATGTAAATACAGAGATTTCAACCTGGATTATCATCAGATTAATTAGAATATAACACCCAAAGCTGAAACTATTCCTCTATGTACATTCTGAAGTGTTTTATAACTGTGAAAAAAGCATCATTATCAGCAACCTTGAAAATGTCTTAATTGCATAGCTTTAAGTGCAGCTGACCTCTGACAGATGTCCTGGGACAGTTTGTGGGCCCTTTGAGGGTCCTGTTTCAGCAGAGCCTGATAACAGGAGAAGGACTCCACCAGCCCCATGTAGCTGGACAGAGGCATCAGTTGTGTGTTCAACACACACCCATGCCTGCAAAACGACAAAACACATGCAAACTGTATGCATATAAATCTATATATAGCAAAACAGCTTTGATATGTCACTGATGAAGAGAAATACTTGTAATCCCCATGATTCTGACCACGTGTGGAAGCTGGATTATATTAATGACCAAAGACAACCGGCCACTCACCATTCCTTTTCAGGATATGGAATCAGTTCAAACGCCTCTCTGTACATCTCAATGGAGCTTTGACCGAGGAGCGGACTGCGGAACGGACGCAAAGCTGCATAAAACTGATTTCACATGAAAAACAGCATCACTAACAGCACAACGAAAACATTTACCATGCTATGATTTACATTATATTCGTACAGGTGTAAAAACTGATCGATGATATGTGCTGCTGATCTCATGCTGCTGATTATTTCATGCTGCTGCATTCATTCGTACTCATCTACTCACTCGTTCGTGCTGCTGTTGTTCGGCGTATTGTTTTTATTGTATTCTTAGTTCAGCGTATTTCTTAGTTTACATCTTAGATCCTTATTAATGTTGCTTTTACAATTATATTCTTCCTGTTGTTGGATGTAACTGGGACCCTGTACACAATTTCATTCCACCTCATGTACCACATGCAATGCAAATGACAATAAAGAACCTTGAATCCTTGAAATCTACTGTACATCCAGACAACTAATAAAAGCCCTTTACTTGCTTTTACTTGTACATTACATTAAATTTATATCTTATTGGAAATAAGTCTGTGGGAACATACATAAACATAAATATAATCTGACATGCTTTACTGTAAATATCCACTGGATGGTAATGCTGCACTGTCAGCTAAGATACTGAAGCACTTTCCATTATAAAATGGACTTGATCGTTAATTTTAGAGCGGGTGGGGGTTCTAAATCTATTTTAATGTGTTTGTATGTAGACTTTAGACTTCTACTTGTTTATAGTGAGTTTCTTGGATGACAGCATATTTTGTACAGCTAGTATTTAAGAAATTAAGGGAAAAAAACAAGTAGAGGATAAGTGGAGCGCCTAAACTTAATTACCTGCTTTCAGATAACGTTTATATTCATTTCAAGGCCTGATTTTTTTCCACAGGTTTAGAGTTGATCAACTAAAAATTTACTCTAAAAACGGTTCGGGCTGAAAATGAGGGAAAAGCAGCCAAAGTCCAAAGAAACAAAAAAAAAAGAGTTGGATCACATTTCAAGAGATTACAGGAAAGTCAGTCTGCTTTGAAGCGAAACAATCAATGAGAAATGACTCAAGACTTTTGCACAGTGCTGCATCTGCCTGAAAGTGGGTTTGTTTCTACAGATGTGATGCCGTGTTTGTTTTAACTGCGTGCACCTCTCTGCAGATGTGGTTGAGAGCGTCCGAGCAGCCGTCAGAGGAGCTGAGCTCCATGTTCAGAGTGTAGTTGAGCAGAGCCAGGCAGCCCCGGGGCTTCAGGACCCGGTGGACCTCTTGGAGGAACCGTGGCCTGTCAAACCAGTGGAACGCAGACATGGCGGTCACCAGGTCCACTGAGCTGTCAGTGAAAGGCAGCTCTTCAGCCACACACTGTCTGAAGAAGGAACAGAACAAAATTATACTTTTCACTGAGGGTCAGAGTTTGGACAGCATGGAGCATCTCTTCTGACAAACATTAACCACGAACTGCAGGACCCTGCTCTTATGAAAAGTGGGTCATGCTGTGAGGCCCACATTGTTCCAGCCTAAATCAGCAAGGGTCACTGAATCAGCTGAGCTGGGCTTTACAATCTATCTGAAGCTCAATGGCTGTATCTTTCATGTTAAGATGAGAAAGTTAAAGCTGTTTTGGTCAAACCTTGCATGCTTTCAAACAAAATTGCAGGATGTCATCAAAGTATGTGTTGTGAATGGCTCTCAGCTACTAACACACCAAATTTTAGCTCAATATCCATAAATTTGCTCGAGTTACAGGTATTTTTGCGCTGGCTTTTTAGGATAATCTGTGGCAGCGATTTTAAAATGGGTTGACTCCAAAGGTTAGTGAGCTGTGCATGTGCATCCAATGATTCCTTTATGAGTTTCATGAACATTTATCCAGCAGTTCTTGAGAAAATTTGCTAACAAACAGGTTTATGTTTAACAGCACTCGTGTTGGGATTCAGTCTCAGCTTCTCCCACACCAAATTCTAGCTCAGGATCTAAACTGACCGACTTGTAGCCATTTTGTGTTTTGCGTGTGGTAACCATCTGATACTTTTGATTGCATATGTCTGAATCTTACCTGTATGTTATGTTTGGCTTGTGAGCATGTTGTAAAGCCAGTTCCAGTTGAGCAGGACTCACGTCCGTCCCCACCACAGAAGCAAAGTGTTTGGCCAGGAGCAGCGTGCCCTGTCCGGAGCCACAGCCCACATCCACTGCCAGCTCAAATTCACCTCCCTGAGAAAATCATCCATGTTTTCTCATCAAGTTTAATTTTAGATGAAAACCCAAAATGTCTACAAGTTTCTTACCTGCTTCTGTAGAAAGTCCAACACTTGTTGCATTAGATGATCTGATGGAGAGATCCTGTACTTCCAGTAGGTGGCTGCATGAGCTTTACCTTCATAAAGCCTGTGAGTCATAGCAGCTCGAGGCCTTTAGACGATTTTACCTGAATCCATTTTGTTTTTGCTTTACTCAGTAAAAAGAGCAAGTCTTCATATGCAGAGGGAGTAAAGTCCTTTCTGCCAGCCGTCAGACAAAAACCAAGGAAACGGAGAACAGTGGAGGAGGGGCTGGGAACTCAATACTGAATGACCAAGTTCTGCTTCAGCAAAACACTTGTGCGTTTGTCACGTGATGGCGTTTCTGTCAGAAGCACTGAAACTCATAGAAAAGGCACCATCATTTTATTTTTTTAAATTGCGCCGCTCAACGTGGCTGCATGTTGGAGCAGCTCTGTTACTTTCATCCTGAGATTTTGCTTTAGGGAACTTTAATTCCTCTTTTTCTGGATGTAAATCACGTTTTGTGGATGATTGTTTCCTCTGATGCTGTGTGTGACCTATCTGATCTGGTGGCTTCTCTCAAGTGTTGAAACGAACGACAAGGAGCTGCTCAAGTTGGCATCAGTTGTTTTCTTTATTTCGCCATCTGCATTTCAGACAATGGGCATCGAGGTAAGTTCAGTCTCTGGCATAAACAAGCTCCTGCAAGGAGGAGCCATAATGTTACGCAAGGGAAATTCCCACCACACTTTCTCATGGACTAAACATTCTTAAACACGACAAAAACGATAGAATAGCTGAACTAACGTGCCCTAGATTAAGCATATTTCAATAATATGCAAAAACTAAGACCATAAACATATTCTATAAAATGCATAAATAATATTTCTTTATCAAATAGCAGAGAGACATTACCTCATCAGTGATCCTCATGACTCTGAGGATTACCCATAATACCCCGCTCTTTCTATGGTGAATGTAATATAACTTTTTACCAGCAGATGGTGCATTTTAGCAGGATTTAACCTGAACCATTTTAACTATGTTACATATATCCTGATGCATGATCAAAGATGTTCACATCCTGGATAGAGAGGAACGATGGTTTGAGAGAGGAATAAAGGAGGCCATCTTTGTGAAAAGAAACCGTCCATCATTAAACAGGGGTGGAGGCCTACGTGTTCAACTGTCCCCCTCTTACAATGCTGTGATTGCTAGTATCACTCAGCCCTCTGTGAACAGTAAACAGCCATCAGTGTGCTAATGATCCATTGTTAGGCTGATGGTCCTTCTTGAGCATGTGATCAGCTGGTTTTGGTTGTCAGCAGCAAAACTGGTTGATCCACCCTGAGACGGTGCTATTTAAGAGACTGAGCTGAATACAGCTCCTCAGACTGAGGAAGTCTCTCGGATGAGAGACGAAACGTTTCTACATTTTTTTGTTGATTTGCTTTGTTTTGTTTTTTTGAATGTCCAGAGGACCAGATTTAACTTTTTTAGATATGTTACATACACCCCCCTTAAATTCTGCTAAAATGGGGATGTATCAAACAAATACACACAGCACTAAAATAAAAGTGTGATAAAGAGAGCACATAGTAGTCACATCAGTTCAAAACTTCCCCTAAGGAGTAATGCTAGCAAGAGTGCGGCCAATACTCTTACCAACACAGACCCAAAAGATGTCATTTACACCTTTTGATATACAACCATTGCTCTACAAGGCAATCACTGAGAGAAAAAAAAATCTTCCAAAGAAAAACACAAATCTACCCTGCAAACATGGTCTTTACAAAGGAAAACAGAGAGTCCACAGTTGACATTGAATCATCCACAACCTGTTCATTCATTTCACATATAAGTCTGGCTGGAGGCTTAACAGGCCTACCCAACCTAGTACATAGCCGAGAAGGCTGAGTGCAAACAACATCAGTTACGGGCAAGGCTAATTTTGTGTCAGTACTATGTTCAGCTGGCAGATGATGCTGAATGAGCTTAGAGTGGACAGATGCAGTTGTAAGGTTGGAAACTGGTTCAGGAGAGTTCGACAGTCATCCACAAGACGTATTTTGTGCACAAAATCTGTAGCATCCCCACAGTCCATTTTATGCCGAGAAAAGATGTATTCATACTGCTGAATGATTTGCAATAACTTGTTTTTCCACTCAAGGGAGACTTCACAAGACGACAGGTCCAAGTCCTGGAGTCTGATGTCACTCAGAATATGAGACATCTCCTCGTCAGTTACTGTTGTCTTTACAGGGTCTTTGGTGTACTGGGTGTTGGATTGGATGCACTCAGGTTTGGTGAAGTCATGTACAGAAACACAAGTGGACACATCAGCAGCTTTTGCATTTCTTCTCAGAGTTCGGGGCTGGAGAGTAACAAACCTTTTGAGTTTGGCTGTGCCCACTTTGATAGGTTTCATATCCGAGGCACCGGACATCGAATCTGACAGCAGAGACATTAAACAGGGCAAATTATCTTTGTGAATGCCGCTCTGAGAAGAACAGACAGTTGTCTCATCACAAGAGATTTTAATTTGGGAAATCAGCCATCTGATAGCATTATTGCCCAATATCATTTCATCAGTTTGTTCTGGAACCACTAAAACAGGGATTATGACATTAAAGCCAAAAACTGTTAGAGTGAGTTCATACAATGCAGAAGGTGTGACGACATGATCTCCACATCCAACAATTACAAAATCAGCAGCTGGTTTCTTATCCAGGTTCATGAGATAGCTTGAAAGTTTTGCTTCAGCTTCCTCACTGATGGTGCATGCCATTGATCCACTGTCAACCAAGGCCTTGAGGGAATGTTTGCTTCCAACAGTGACTTGTGTGTAGAACAATCTGTCAGTCTTAGAAAGTCTCTGAGGGGCTTGCACAATCAGTGTATTTTGTGGTGGAACTTTGCTGCTGTAATTAAGGTACAGTGTCTCACAGTCATCATCAGAAGAATCCAAGGTGGGAGCGTCACTAAGACGATCTGCGCTGTCCTCCCCTCCATGCAGATCTCTCAGTTTTCCGGCTGGCTATGGGAAGGCAGCTGCTCTCTCTGGTGGCAGTTTCGACTTGAATGGCCAGGAAGATGACAGAAGAAGCACAGATTATTCTGGCGGCAGTGCGTACGTGTAGTGTGGGAATTATCATTACACACAGAACATGGTATGTCGTTCAGTCCTTTAATATTCGGCAAACGACTTTTAACAGGTTGCCTTCTGCCAGACTGGGAGTTGCTTTGGGCTTGAAGTAGCACTTTCTCCAACATGCTAATCAGTCTTTCCATAGTGGAATTGTCTGGGGCTACACATTGTTGCAGTTCTTGTTTATGTGCAGATGTGGGCACCGTGCAGTCCACCTCTGCTCGGTTCACACTGATCCTGCTTTCTTTCTCAACAGACCGCAGTCCCTTTTCCATATGATACTCATCCAACACGTCCTGAACAAGATGGATCAGGATCTCCTCAGCCTGGTGTTCCTGCTGTACACCACTCTTTTTGATGTAATTTCTCATTGAGTCCTCCCATTCATCAACTGTAACTGTATCAGAACTCTCCCCTTTAAAAATAGGTGGTTCCTTCACCTGGCTTCTGGAGACAAGCTGGACCTGAGAAAGATCTAGCGAGCTGCATGGGACTTGATGGCTCTCATTTTGAGTTTTTTTCACTGCAGTTCCACTCGGGTTGCTCGAGTTCAGGTGTGCCATAACACTATCAGCCAGCTGTTGCCCTATTTGTTGGACTATAGTGCTCATCTGATCCACTAGCCCAGCATTATTAACATGAGAATCTGGGATGGATGTGCTAGAGCACTGAGGAGGTTGAATATTAGGACAGGTCTGACTACTGGGTGTGACAGCTTCCCCGGTCACAAATGAGTCATTTACAGTATTTACGTCGAGTAATGGACTACCCAATGTTTGGTCACCCAATGAAAATGGAACAGGGGTGTTAAAGAACCCCCTACCTCTACCAATACAGAGTGGAGTCACATTTGATTGTCCAAAATTACTGGAACTCATTTTGACAGAAGTCCAAGAGCATTCAAAGAAATATCCTTTCACAAGGATTTATAAACACACTCAAATGTGCTACTTAGACTATTGTTGAAAACCCAGATGGTACAGTAGAGCTCCAGCGACGTGAGGATCAGAAGTCACCAGCCCGGTCCGATGTAGTTCTGGACGAGTCACGGCACCAATGTGACCTATCTGATCTGGTGGCTTCTCTCAGTGTTGAAACGAACGACAAGGAGCTGCTCAAGTTGGCATCAGTTGTTTTCTTTATTTCGCCATCTGCATTTCAGACAATGGGCATCGAGGTAAGTTCAGTCTCTGGCATAAACAAGCTTCTCGTCAGTGATCCTCATGGCTCTGAGGATTACCCATAATACCCCGCTCTTTCTATGGTGAATGTAATATAACTTTTTACCAGCAGATGGTGCATTTTAGCAGGATTTAACCTGAACCATTTTAACTATGTTACATGTGCAGCTGGAAGGATTTTTACTGAAACTTTTTTAGTTTTGGACATTTGTTATGATGCGTAACCATGGCAACAAGGCAGTTTTCTACAACCAACAGCAGCTGATTAACATCTCAAAAGCTTAAATAATATCTCAACTACAGCCCCAAATCTCAAATGAGTTGAAAAGGATGTTCTGTGAACGCATTCTCATCTACCTGCCAGCTGTGCTCGAGTGCCTGACCACTGAGATCCTGGAACTAGCAGGAAACATGGCTCGTGACAGCGGATCATCCCTCGGCACCTACAGTTAATTGTCCGCAGTGATGAGGAGCTCGGCAGGCTGCTGGGAGGAGTGGCCATCACTCTGGGAGGAGTTCTGCTCGGCATTCGGGCGGTCCTACAGCCCGGGGGAACCGAGAGGTCAGCCGAGTCTGGGTGGACGGATCGGACAGCATCTGCAGCCAGTTTCTTAGGATCCACCGTGGGATGGATCTTTAAAGAGATCCTTCCCATCTACAGCAATCAGCATCTAGAACAACTCAATGAAATGAGGATAACGAGTTACAACAACAAATAATTTCCCTTTGGGATTAATAAAGTATTTTTGAATTGAATTGAATTGAATCAGTGTTCCTAAAAAGCCCCCGATCTGTTCTCACTGCTTTGGGACCTGTACAGAATTAGTTTTCTTAGGTCTGGAGATTTAGTTACTTTATAGTGTCTCTATAGTAATTCTGGCTGCTGCGAAGATCAGAGCTATGGAAACTGGAAAATAAAATTATGCATTCAGCATTTAAGATCTGCAAACAAGCAAATTCAGTGTAGTGTCTTTGTCTCACTATATCAAGCACATGGTGGAATTCCTTGTTCACCTGAAGTGGAAAAGGCAATTCATAAAGCTCATAACGAGACCAGTTTCATGAACAGACATGAAACTAGAGAACTGGATTTTTTGTTGAAAACTTATATTGTTGCCGACACTCAAACATGTCAACCCTGATGCTTGCAACAAGACATTTGTATCCTTCACTGTGTTTGAACTGAGCCTCTGACATGTATTTTTTTTTTATTTGTATCTAAATCAGAGAGGAAACCCAATCATGATGTAGTCTTTAATCTGTCAAGCTTTGCTTGTTAAACTTGGTTTGATTTTAGAAAGTGGCATCTGAGTAGAACGTCCAGAACTACAGAAATTTTCTTTATACAATATACTTTAAATAAAAAAAAAACTATCTTCAGATGGAAAAAGTATATTTTTGTACTTCTTGGGACTCGCTCTTTCTTCACGCTTGATCAGAACTGTTCAGGATGGTTGGGTTTAGGGGGTCGTTCTGTTGTCTGTCCCAGCAGTCAAGATGTGGGCACACCCAGGATAGGTCCCAATTATAGGCCACAGTAATGAATGTGGAGGGTCATTAACAGAAACTAATGGTTCCTTCCAGAGCATTATTCAATTATTCAGTTAAGAGGCCCACGAGGACCAAATAAATAGTCAAGTGAAATATTTATGAGCCCTCAAAGTAAATAAAGTCTTAAACAGCAGAAGCAAGTGAAAATTCCTGAATATGCATTTTTATTTATATACAGCCAAACATAAGCAAATGGATAGTCAATTTTAATATTAGATCTGAGTTGGCCCATTTCAAGGTGAGCTTACAGAAACGGCCATAAATCAGTTGTATACATCTTAAGCTAAACTTTATGGTAGTTGCATCTCCACGATATACTGGGTACCAACACGTCCTGCAGGATTTCACAATACTGAATAAAGTTTCCCAAAATTTGATGAAAACACCGAACCCTGATCCTCATCATAAAAATGATTTCAATTTAAAACTATGGCACAAACGGCAGCTGGTGATGAACATTTCTTTCAGGCTAGCTAGGCCTTTGATATTTCAGCATAGTACAAGTATAGTATGATTGACAATTTATATTTTGGAAACATACACCATACATTATGACTTTTATAAATTATGTTAAGCATTTAAGGTACCGGGTTCTATCCCCAGTTATTGCACATCTCGTGGTGTCTCCCAAGCAGGACACCTTATCCCCAGTTGCTCCCCGAGCGCTTTCCATAGCTGCCAACTGTGCCACATGGTGGTGGATGGGTTAAATGCAGAGAGCCAATTTCACCATTGCATGAGAAAATACAATGACAATACACAACACATTATTATTATTTACAAAAATGAAATAAATCTCCAGAAACATGCTCAACCAGAGATGAAATCTGAACTCCATTCTCATTGAATACATCTAATATGTTTATTTTTAACTAAGGTTGGACTGTAAAAATCTGAGTAATACAAACTCATCTCATATAAAAGTCAAACTTAATGATGGTAGCAATAAATAAAAAGGTCATTATAAAAATGTGCAAAGTTCCAAAACTGTGGGTGAAATATACGGACTTTATTTAAACAAATTAACATCGGCATGTGAGATATAAAAAATATTTTGTTCAGGTCTGTGAACTCTGTGCAAACTATCAAAAGCATAACAAGTTTGTTGTTTCAAACTTTGTTCAAAAGATTTTGTGAAACAAGAATTTGAACATTAATTGAGAAAAATCAAGTCATAATCAACATGTAGACTTTTAAACATTATGCATTTGTTTGATACATAAAGCACTTCCTAAACTACAAGTGTGTGTTTAAGCTGTTTAGGATTATAGCGGTTTGGATGCCAAAACACAGAAATATGCCCAGTCCCGTTCAACTTCAGTATCAGGAGAAGTGACTCCCATTACATCCAAGATCCTGGAAGCGGAACAAAAACAGGAAAATATTAAATAAATGGTTCAGAAAATGATTATTGTGATTAGTCATATTGATTATATAGAATTCCAGTGTTTGTGTGTTTCAGTGTAACCTTTTCTGAATGTTGGCCAGCAGATCTTCAGCACCCTGTGGGTCTTTCTCCTCGTAGGTCTGGAACATGGACCAAGTTCTGATGAAGCCAACCAGGTTCCTCACAGAGAGCAACGTTTTTACTGGAAAATTATCCATCCTGTTGGAAGAAAATCATAAAAAAAAAAAAAAATTCAAGAGGGACAACATTATCGCATTTCTAGAAGAAATACATTATCCAATAAATACAAGTATGTGTGTGTATGTGTGTGTGAGCGCACCACAACACTGGACAGATTAATAAAATTCGGGACAATAATCAGTAGATGAATATCTACAACAGGACTATTCAACTGAACTGCTCGGGAAGCACAGTTTCGAAAAGCCAGCAGCTCAGGGGCCGAACATGGAGCAATTAAAGTCATTATGTAAATGCAATAAAACAGAATCCAAAACCAAAAAAAAATAATTTTTTAATCAACTCATTGGTGGGCTGGACTGAAGTCACCCGCGGGCCTGAAGTGGGCCACCGGTCGCCAGTTGAATAGCCCTGATCAACAACCTATAAAATTTTAGACAACACAAGTCAAGATTCTAACAAAGTTAAGTCAGGTCCTCTGGATGGATTTAAAAATATAATAAAAAATGATTTGTTGAAATATTTCATCTCATCTAAAAGACTTTGTCCATCTGAGGAGCTGCAATAAATTCAGTCTTATAAAACAGAACCTTCTCATAGGGGATCAACCAGTTTGCAGAGGACATCCAGAGCTAGCTGTTCACATGATAACAGAGGACCATCAGCCTAATAATTGGTCGTTAGCATCCTGATGGCTGCTTGCTATTCACAAGAGAGCTGAGTGATACTCGCAATAACATCATTGTAATAAGGGGAGAGTTGAACACAGAGGCCTCCGCCCGTTTAATGGACTAGTTCTCTTCACAAAGATAGTTTCCATCTCTCCTCTCTCAAACCAGCGTTCCTCTCTATCAAGAATGTGAACATCTTCATCCCTGAAAGAGTCAATGCTGGCCTGGAGATGAGTGTAGACCAGAGTGCTGGCCTGATGATGTTGCTCTTCTGTACTGGGCCATCCTTTTGGCCCAGACAAGTCAAGATGGAGACCACAGCCAACTGATCTTGGCAAACAAAATAATCAAATTTACAGTTGAGCTAAATTTTGATGTGGTAGTAGCTGAAAGTTATTTACAACACAATCTGAGCATCGACATGTCAATTATACCAATATCACACAAGGATCTGACAAGATTGGTTGCAACTAGGGCTGACAAGAGGTCTTCGAGGAATGAAAAGACCTTTAATTATGGATTAAATTAGCTTTCTATCAATGCTGACTTTTGAACTATTATTCACATCTTTAAACTGAAAGGGAGTGTATTTTAATGACATTTCATCAACATTAAAATGTTTCCAAGAAAGTGGAATAATATAAAAAGATAAAAATCTTACACTGTTACCTGCGTTTTTCTGGGTAAGGAATGGCAGAAAACAGGTCTTGCAGTTTACCTTCAGACACGGCGACTGGGTTGCTCGTGTACGGCTGCAGCACCTGTTTCACCTGAGGAAAAGTGACAAATGGTTAAAAAAAAAAAATTCCTTTAACACTAATTCTACAGATTTCCAAATTACAGCCGGGTGTGGAAAAATAAATAAAACTGAATTTCGTGATCAAAATTAGCTTTCAGATTTTGAATTTATCAGCTGATTCAACTAAAAACATGACTATACAAAAAATACTTTTGAACAAAAAAAAAAGCTCAAACCGTTCATTATAAAGAGGAAGTGGTAGAACATCTCACACTGAAATCTGTGTTAAGGATTAAATAAAACCATTTTAACAATAGAGAATAGAAAGGAACACTAACTGAGCTTTGTTCTGGATCGTCTGCTTGCCTGCTATAACCGGGTATCAGATTTATTCTCACAGCTGGAAACAATCCAACGTTTAACTGAATGCTTACTGTTAAAGTTTAAGTTAGAACATGTGAAATGACAGTGTATTGTTTAGCTTGCTGTATCTGACACGATGAGAACTGCAACCATTACATACATAAAACCATTACATACAACCATTACATCTCTCCATTTGCAACTGGGTACTAGACTTCTTAACAAACAGGCCACAGTGAGGATCCACAACTTCTCCTCCTCCACCATAACCCTCAGCACTGGTTCTCCTCAGGGATGCGTGTTGAGCCCCCTCCTGTTTACTCTGCTCACATATGATTGTGCAGCTACCCATTCAGGCTGTCACATTGTAAAGTTTGCAGATGATACAGCGATGGTGGGATGCATCACAAACAATGAGTCCAGCTACAGGCAGGAGGTGAAACACATGGAGAGCTGGTGCTAAGAGAATAACCTTCACATCAATGTGAAGAAGACAAAGGCGATAATTGTGGATTTCAGAAGGAACAAACACACCTACAACCCCCTGAACATAAGAGGATCTGTGGTGAAGTGGTCTCCAGTTACAAGTACTTGGGTGTACATATGAATGACAACCTCAGTTGGGGCAATAACACTACCAGACTGATCAAGAAAGCTCATCAGAGACTACTTCCTCAGGCGGCTGAGACAAGGTGGTCTGGGAAGCTCAGTCCTCACCTCCTTCTACAGGTGTGCAGTGGAGAGCATCCTGTGCTCCAGCATCAACGTGTGGCATGGAAGCTGCACAGCTGCAGAAAGAAAAGCTTTGTAGAGAGTGGTGAAGGCTGCACAGAAGTCTGTTGGAGTCACTCTCCCCACCATCACAGACATTTACACCTCCAGATGCAGGAAGAGAGCAACCTGCATCATGAAGGACTCCACTCACCCAGCACACACAATTTTATAGGTAGTGTTCAGACTGTTCCTTCCTACTTCCTAGTAAGTTTAAAGTTACGTTTTTATGGTTGATAAAATGCATCGCGGCTCGCGTGTAAAACCAGAAGTGTATTTTAGTTATCTTTATATAACCCTTTTGCTAAACCTAACCTTACACCTGACCCAGCCCACTGACACTAAACTTAACCCCTTTACCCTTGAGTCTTAACCTAACCCTGAATTCAGCTAGCAGCTGCTGCAGAATTCAGATACATATCCATTTTAATATTGCATTGGGCTCTACATTAAACATGATGGCTTCACAGTGAGTTTCAGCATGACCATACTTCCATGGTGAAATAGGCATCGAAGTCCTCGAAGCATGGAGGCATATTTTTGCTATGAGGCCTGTGTACACCGGAGTGACTTGGCGAGTCAGGACTACAATGGTGATTGTGACATAGTTATGAAAACAGATGGTAGAGACAGGATACCTGTGGCGGTAGCATTGTGCTAGACTGGTATGATCTTGTAGCATCTGGCTGCATCCTGGTAGGTGTGTAGAATGTGGTGGGGGTGGACTGTAGGAGTTTCTCAGGGATATAGAAGGTAGAAACACCCCATATTGGTCAGTACTAAGAGCGTAGCAGGAAATGGATGTTTTCCAAATTTGCTGCAATTCAGCCACATTCCAAAATGGTTTTGAGAGCATAGAGGGGTCATCCAGTGTGAAAAGCGCCAGAAACAGTGCACATGGACTACTCGTGTGCAACGAAGAAACTGCATTCCATCTACACCTACCTCTTGATAGATCTGGGTGATTCCATCTCCACAGTCCTTGTAGTTAAATCTGACATTGGTGTCACTGAAGCCCAGCAGAGCAATGCAGCCTCCAGGTTTCAAGACCCGGTTCGCTTCGGGCAGGAACTTGGACTTGTCAAACCAGTGGGCTGCTGAAGCTGCTGTCAACAGGTCTACAGTGCCATCTTCAAAAGGAAGGTCCTCTGCTGTCCCCTGACTACAAATGCAACACAAACACATAAATTTATTGATAAATAAAAGTCAAGTGGAGTGGTGCAGAGGTGGAGTGGTGGTGTTTTTTTTTTTGTTTGTTTTTTGTGGTGGTGCATAGGTTAGAGAATGTGGGCCTGTGATCGGAATATCGCCGGTTCAAGCCCCGGTACAGATAACATCAAAAATGTGGGTGGGGTAGGTGAAGCACCCACACCTGCCCCCACTCTCATTCACCCCACCCTGAGCCCATGAGCAAGGCCTTTAACCCCATCTGCTCCCTAAACAGGTCTCTCTTGAAAAGGAGTTCTCATGGCTCAATGAGACTACCTGTATAAATAAAGGGTAAATGAAAGTGATCAACTTAGCTTTTGTATTTATGAGCTATGCAATTATTCAACATATAATTTCAGGTCATTTTCAGCATTCAAAATCTTACAATACTGTATTTTCCAGCCTATAAAGTCACAGTTTTGAGTAAACAATTGTTTTTAAGTGTTAATCTTGTTCAATTCTTGTTAAAGTCCTCCTTTGCAGTGTGCACTCTCCCGCGGCTGCCATTTGGCAACCAATCGATTTTTGGCACAACACCGGCCCACATTTCCGGGTTGTCAGCGGTGACGTGCAACAAACGCGATGCGTCAGCGGTGACGCATAATAGACGAGACTTACACGGTGAAGCAACTTATTTATGTTTTTTCCACTTTATTAGACATATTTGGACTGATGCGACTTATACGGCGGAAAATACGGTATATAAAATATATTCATTATGTCCATCTGTGTGACCTCTTGACACTTACCGGTATGTAACGTTGGGGTCTCCTGGCACAGTTCTGGCCTCATCCACCTGGTTCTCGCTGACATCCATGCCGACCACTTCTTTAAAGTGTGGCGCCAGCAGACGAGTAAACTGACCTGTTCCACATCCCAGATCTACTGCGAGCTCATGTGGTTGTCCTTTCTGTGGGTGGAAACAGATATGTCCTGTCAGAGCTAAAATAAACGTCATTTTGAAACTTTATATTCTTTCCTTACACCATTTATTTACCTTTGTGTCCAAGTACTGAATGATTACATTCTTGAGCTCAGCTGGAGGCGTAAAACGATACTGCTGGTAGATGGAAGCATGTTTCTTCCCTTCAAATAGTCTGTATGCCATTGAGAGGTTTTAATCTGTTGACTGCTGTAACTTGTCCAACCTCCCCCTCGTAGCAGCCTCTGCCGGATATCAAACTTTGTCTTTCTTGCTCAGCGACTTGCCTTTGCTCACAGTGCTCCTCTTGTTATTTCTTCGTTTAAAATCTGATTTCCAATTTGTTTCAATTGCTGTTTTTTTGGTCCAAACGCTTGCAGTTCCTCTTTGCAGTCTTGCTGACATGCAAGATCATAAAACAAACAGGCAGGAAAATGATTGGTGAGTCAGACACGCTGTAAAATCAAGCTGCGGTGTTAAACATTAGCAGTTAAGGAGAAAGCCGACTACATACAGTTCCTCACTAGCTGAAAGTTGCCTCTGATGTCAGTGGTCCTGTTAGGCCAGCAGTGGATTTGTCATCAGTGCGTCACAGAGGCAGGGCTTCCCGTTTAACCCCTTCATAGCACACTTCAGCACTGATGCACGTTTTTTACATCCATTTTACAGTAAAACAGGACTTATAGTCTGGTTCGCACTAATTTGCACATCAGGTAAGAATGTAACAAACCTACTTTTTTTTTCTTTAGTTTTTAAAGTTATAAAGTTTGAAAATGTGTAGTTTTTATGACAAGCCAGCCACATGTTAACTGCCTGTGAAGGCTTTTCAGCATTTAGCTTCAAGACTACCCTCGAACATTCAAGCATATTTTGTGAAAAGGAAAAGTTGTTATTATCTAAAGGGAACAGATATTTTTGTGAAACCAAAGTATAGGACTAGTTTAAGGGGTAGGTCTACTTCAATTCAGGGAATAGGTTTTTGGAATAGTTTGGATGATGATGTAAAAAAAATCAAAAAGTCAATGTTTATATTTAAGAAAAAGATTAAGAACATATTGTTGAATAGATACATATAGATTTAAGTTAGTTAATATCAAACAAAATATAAATGGAAAAATTGTGATCAGTTATGTAATTTTGTTGTATTATTTATAGATGATTATTGATTGAATTGATTGAATTGATTTTGTTTAAGGGGCAGAAATAATAAGATTTTTTTTCTTCTTCTGCTGCCTTTCATTTTATGTTTTGTATTTTACCCTCTTGTTTTGAAATTGTTATTGTGTTTTTAAATGAATAAATAAATTAAAATAAAATAAATAAGACAAATGAAGCATACCTTAAAGTAATCCATGTCACTCTCCACCTGGCACTTTTAAACAAAGACCTTGTGCAATCACTCAATTTTACCTGTACATTGTGCGAGTGTTGTGTACTTTTGTTTGTTTTTACGAGCCTTTGGGCTTTTTTGTGTTTGGTTATGTGTGTCAAGAGTACATTTCTGCATGCATGTTTAATGTCTGCACCTTCAGAGGAAACATTCTTAATTTTGCTGTGCATTATGAACTCTTTAGTATTTTAATTCACTGCATTTGGATATGTTCTTAAAATAATACATGAAACACTTTGTACACCAACAGCACAGGTTTTGTTCTGCCTATCAACACCCCCCCCCCCCCCCCCCCCCCTCTCTTGATAGTTCAGAACTTTGGACCAATTTATGTTTTTATTGTCCTTTACAAAACGGATTGTTCGGGGGGGAGAGACTCCAGTGAACAAGAATGTCAAATAAGTGGGTATGATTTTTATCATTTGTTTCAGTCACTGATGATTAGAGCCTATCAATTAATTTTACCCTAACAAAAGTTAGGAAACAAGTTGTCAAAGCTGCAGCTATTACAAACATGATTATGCAACTCAGTCGTTGGTTCATAGCCGAGTTTACTATAAGTTTCTGTCTTTCCCCCCTCCCTCTTGACCACTTGCTAAAAAGAACAGTGTTTTGCTGTTTTGTTAACCAGGATGGTCCACAGAGGAAGTAAGGGGTGTTTAATGGCTCCTGAGGGACACTGATAATGACCTATTGACCATTTCCAAATGAAGCAGTGAACATGAAGTTATCCCTCGGGCTTTAATTAGTTGTGAAAATATCAGAGGAGTAAAGGTAGGCATACAGCCCTCCACCCGCCTCCCTTATGGCTTATTCTCTTTGAGTGCACCTTTCATCACCTGGAGAGAAACCAGTCATTGTGTTGTGGCAGCAGTGGACAAAGAAGCTGAGGGACTTCAGAAAGTTGTTACAGTTTGCTTACATCATTCTCAACTGGTTCGTATGTGGACCTAAAAATAAATAATTGTTCTAAATGTTATTGATCAGCCAGACGATTTAAACTGACACCTGAATAATTTGACAGACTGGCTGAATGTGACATTGGTTTACATTACTGGCTGCGCACAAAAACACAGTTCAAACCACTACTGCTTGACGTCACATGTAACCTTTTGAGTTGCCCCAATAGAAAAGGCCACATATTTAAGGCTGAATCATAATAGCCCTTATATTATTAGCCATGATAACTAATAGCTATTATTAAAGTTATTTATTTCTCATAATGATTTGATAATACTTGAAATAATGTTGCTCACAATGGTGCTCACATATACCTGATTAAAAAGATATTAGGACCTTACCTCAATTTTGAAAACTTTTTCTGTCACAACTAGTTGTGAATTAACTTAAATCCTTGAAAGATGTAAAAAATAGGGCAAAACTATAAAACAGGAAATTAAATGGGGATAGTACAGAAGCAAGCAATGCATGAAAAGTATTAAGAAGTGGGGATTGTATAATGTGGGAGTTCTGATTAGTGAAAGAAAACAGGTGTGCTGATAAGGCCTGGGACGCAGGTGGATGAGGAGCTAAAACAGGCGGAGGTGGGAACATCTAGTAAATGTGTAAACACAAAACTAAAGAACCAAAACCCCAAACCAGTACATTTTCTTCAGTACATTTTGCAAGAAAAACTTCAAAATTTCCAAATCAAGCTTAGACCTGCACTAAATTCTGTCATGTGGTGTGTTTGGGAGGGATTTTACAAGCAGTTGTGACCTTTATTTTTTAAATAAGCACCAATACAACTCATTTTAAACCTTTGTTCACACATTTGCGCCTGAATATTAATTTATTAGTGAAACCGTCAGAATGCTAACTTACTTGATTACTTGAGATAAACATCATGATCAGGTCAACAGCAAGACCGTTAAGTACATTCAGCTTTAATATGTACAGTAGAAACTCGCATGAATAATTTTACAATTAACCAATAAATAGTGTTGACTCAGGAAAATCAAGATAAAGATTCACCTGGACTCATGCTGAATTTTTTAGACTAACAAAATTAATGGAATTACATTCATGAGCTAATATGGATTTGGCCATTTTTGCAGATTATGGGTAGTTGTTTTATCCTTTCCCTTATTTTCTGCTTTTAACAAAAATGTCAGCTTTAACACTTTCCAGTAAAAAAACAAAACAGTTTTTATTTATGCTTTTATGTTTAAGAGTTGAAAGTTTCTGTTGAGTGTAACAATGCCCTTTACCCACCACCAGGGGATGCTAAAACACCAGTAGCACCTCCATTTTCATGTTTAAAAATCTGATTTTATATAATAAACATCAAGCGCATTTAAATATATGAAAGATACAACAATAGACATGAAAGGTTTTCATTATTAAGACTTCTCACAACAGGTGAAATCAGTATTCAGAGCATATAAAGTGGTGATTTGTTTGCACAATCTCCATGAAAAATCTTAGATTTCAATTCAATAAAATTCAGTTTTTTTATAAAACACCAGGTCACAAGAGAAGTTGTCTCAGGGCACTGAACAAAACATTCACATACATAAAAAAAAAATTAAATAAAAGGCCATTTAGTAAAACCAGGTTGTGGATGAGCGGCCATCTGCTTCGACGGGCTGGGTGTTATGGTCCTGATAAGTCCAGGTATAAATGGCAGGACGCACAATATATGAAGCCCAGACGGTTGTACAATTTAGACAAAGCTTTAATTATCAGTCAAACATCTGAACATAAATGCAGACTGGGAGGCCTGGTTAAAACAAAAAAAAGAGGGAGAAGCCCCGAACCAGTCAGCAGTTGACTGTCAGATTCGGGCCGCTCCCCTCGTCCTATGACCCAGGGACTACAATCAAAAACCATTAACTTAAACTGCACAGGTGACTCCCAGTCCCAACAACAAATAGCTCAACAACAAGATGGTGACAAAGTGCAATAATCTGTAGTCGGAGCGGGGACGACGCTGGAGAAGAAAGCCAACAACCGTCAGATCAACGTCTCCTCTGGCCTCCCTCGCTCGTCCATCAGGCGGAGCTTGGTCCTTTTAAGCCACCTTCAGCCAATCAGCTGTGCAGAGAGACAGCATATGAATTAGTTAGACACACGTGGACATAACTGACACAGGGACACGTCACACTGGGGTTTGAGAGGACAGGAAGGAGAAACAGACAAACACAGAATGGCAGGTCCCGGTGTACTTTCTATTGGAATAGGGTGACCAGACGTCCCCGATTTCCGGGGACAGTCCCCGTTTTGGACGACCTGTCCCCGGCTAAAGCTGTCTCTGGAAATGTCCCCACTTTTAGCGTGTTATGAATGAGTGAAATTGTGTCTTATTTATTATGTTTTAAGTATTTCACTTTACTATGATCTGTGGATAGTGGTGGCACAGAGGTTAGAAAAGGTGGGTCTGTGATCGGAAGGTCGATGGTTCAACTCCCTAGACCGACAACATCAAAATGTGGGTGGGAAAGATGAAACACCCACCCCTATCTCCACCCTCACTTGCCCCACCCTGGGCCCTTGAGCAAGGCCCTTAACTCACACCATCTGCTCTCCCGGGTGCCCTAGATGCAGCTCTCTGCTCCACACAGAGGGCTGTGGTAGCTCGGCAATCTGTGGTTGTGTCAGGAAGGGCATCCGGCGTAAAAATAATTGCCAGGTCTTCATGCGACTTAGTTTGCTGTAGCGACCCCTAATGCAGGGAGCAGTCGAAAAAAAAAAATTTTTCTGATCTGACTGTGTTTATGCTTTTTAGTTATTATTCCTTGACATTTGACACAGGGTGATCTGATTTAGTATTTCATTATTTCTAATTATGTTTTTTTATATATATTTTTTTTTATTCCATGTACTGTAATTATATATTGTCACTTTTTATTTGATGCTGTGATCTTGTTAAGCACTTTGGTAACAGTTACTGTTTTAAATGTGGTATATAAATAAATCTAACTTGACTTGACTCTTACTTTATTCAGACCTCCATGGCTACCATGGCTGATGGTTCTTCAGATAGAGGAGGCCTCTCAGAGCCAAATTAGGTCAGCCAGCGCTGTTTCTATTTCTTTGTGAACAAATCCATTCCACTTGATTAATAGAACACTCAAACCACTTGTTTTGCCATGCACTCTAAAATAGTTATTGAATCAAGTGTTAAAGTAGATGTTTAACAACCCATTAAAATACACCAGTTGCAGGAAATGACATCTACTTTATTAAAAAAAATTAATGGGAATGGTATTGAGCAAGTTACTTCTCAAGGAAGCTCAATCCTCATCAAAGCAGATATTATACAATTGAGAAGGAAACACTTGCATTACTCCTAGCATTGCAGTGTTTTGAAGTTTATCTTGGCTTGAGTGTGAAACCCATAGAGGTTTTCTCAGACCATAACCCACTTGTCTTTCTTTCCAGGATGTACAATAACAATCAGCAGCTTATCAGTAGGCTTTGATTATCTAGGAGCATAACCTCTGGATTTATCATAAAAAGTGGTCAGAGAATGTCCTGACTGACACGCTGTCACTTGCGCTATGACCCCTGGTCATTTCTTTGAATGTTCCAAACATTTTGTTTGGACTTGTAAGGGTGGGGGTGTCTGGAGGACTGTGTGTTTGAACTCACAACCTCGACATTTCTAAGTACCGCACGCTGACGATTACCAATCTCTGTGTCTAGGGGTATGATTCTCGCTTTGGGTGCGAGAAGTCCTGGTTTCAGATCCCGGACGAGGCCCCAGTTGTTAAGCCCCCACATCCCACTTTTGGAGAAAGGGCGCATTAACATGACGACCACAATGCATGGACAGAGTCTTTGTAATAGTGAAAGAAAACCACAACTTTTTTGTAGCTTTTAGAGACATTGGAAGGAGAACACAAAATAAAGCTTGGTTTTATTTCTTCACTTTTACAAGGACTCTGTCAATTTCTTGTGGTTGTCATGGTAATGCCTCCTTCCTCCAAAAAAAAATGGGAGGGGGGAAGGCATAACAAACAGTAAAAAGCTATTAAAATTAAAAATAGTGTTATAAAAACAATAAAATCAAAGTGCCATATAAAACAAGGTAAAATATTAAAAACAAGAACATATTAGCTTAGATTTTTTTATACTGGAGGCTACAAAAGGTTTGTTGAGACAATTTAGTATCTCATGCTTATCTGACATAGGAGCAGTCGACAAATAATTGTGATGGCAGATCAGATGAGTGAGTGCTGCTATCAAGATATGTAATAGTTTTCCAGAAGCTCTTAGAATGGTTTAGATTTTTGGAGGTCTGAGATAAATACTAGTTTTGTTTTGCTGCTTTACAGCGATTCCGTAATTGACAAAATTGCAACCAATGGGTGTCCGAACCAGTCTGTCCTGCTGTTGCCCAAAGCTGATCCCTCCTGTGCAAGAGGTCAGCTAGTTCAAAAGTAAACCAGAGGTTATCCTGGCCCTTTACTCTGAGCTGGCAAAGTGGAGCGTGTTTATTTACAAAACGAATGAAACTATTAAGAAAATAGTTTCAAGCAAGATTCACATCATCAATTAATGATATGCCATGCCAGTCAAAGTGAAACAGAACCCAAAGAAAGGCTTGTTCACAAAAATGTTTCATATTTCATTTTAGAATCGTTCTAGGTTTAAAACGAGGCATTTTTGTGAGTGTAGATAATGACCAACTGGCCATTGAATACAGAGTGCAGTGGTGGGTACGGTAGTTACAACCAGTTATGAACCTTAGCACGCCATGGTAGAAGGTATTCAACATCTATACGGAGTTGGTAAGGGCAATCATGTAAATAATATAGCCATAATCAATAGATGGTATGAAAGTGGCAGTTACAAGGCATTTCCTGGCATTCAGAGTTAAACTAGATCTATTTCTGAAAAAGAAACCCAGTTTCAATTTCAGTTTATTTCTCAAGTTTTCAACATGTGGCTTAGTGCATCAATTAAAATTCCCAAGATGTTGTTCACAGTTATTCACATTTAATAACGATAAAACAACAGACACATACAAACACACACACAGGCACCAACATTCACATGTACTGTCACATTTGGGGAACTAAAAGCCTAACTTAACATGTAAATCTGACTCAAGGAAGGAACAAAAATAATTGCCTATTTAATTTTTTTTTAATATGTAAAGCATTTTTCTTGTTAAAGAAGGCAAAAAATATTTTAGTAACCTTGATCACTACAGCTAACAAACTGTGATGTCAATAAGAAAATAATTTAGAGTCAGTGGTAGTGATGACAATGACACTTTACTTCATATCTCTTGATTCTAATTTCTTCATCAATAGTCAGATTTTAAAGTTTAACTTTGTTTACATAACAAAACAAAAAGGATATCCTGTGCCTGGGGGGATGAATCGGACTAAAGAACAGTGATTGGTTGTGAAATCCCTGTTTGACTGATACGTAGTCTAAAATAGGTTGTGCCTTCTTAGCAGAAACTGCATAAAGACCAGATTTTCCATTCGAGGAAAGAGCTAGTTTTCCAACAATGA